CAGATAATTGTAAGAACAACAACAGTGGGTGATAATAATGAATATTATACAAATGAAGATAATAAAAAAGATAATGATGATAATAACAGTGAATGTGAGAATAATGATAATAGTGAAGAGAAAATCTTCCCTGTTTTATTACAAATTTATTCTATGTGAAAATATAAAATAATTAATAATTAAATATAAATGTTGCCATGATTTAAAGTTTCACCTCTGTTTGCAGGTTATATCGCATGTTTACATTATCCCTAAGATTTGCAACTATATCATTACAGTCATTATAGCCATTATCGTTGCAACTGATATTATTGATATTGTTATTATTTGTTTTGTTATTTTCGTTACTGCTATCTTGTTATTATTATCAATATTGTCAAATACAATCACAATGTTATGACTTTTCTTATTACTGTTGTTAATTATCATCATTATTAATATCACTATCATCTTCACAATTCTTTGTATTTCAGTCCTACTACTTATCCATGTGTTGTGATGCACTTGGAGTATATCAGTTTTAGAAAGTGTGATATGAAAGAATATTATTGCATACAGAAATATATATAAATATATTGTTGTAAATTTTGTTCAGCTCTACTTTTATATAATGTTTGTTCTGTCTTATCGCCAGTGTTTTCATGAAGAGCTGCACAAGAAAAAGAAAAAAAATCATACTTTAAGATGTACCAATTAATAAGGCAATGCTCAGAACGACAAAGAACTGAGAATGATACAACCTGTCCTCCACCCTCCAAAGGTAAACATTAAGATATAAACAATGAATAATAATAATAATAATAAAGCTAGGAACAGGTGGCTAATAAAAGGTATGTAAACAATTACCAGTTTATTTATCTTTTCAATGCTGCATCATGTATTTATCAGCAAGTTCTAGTGGTATCCTGTGGGAAAAAATTTCAATGAACAGATGTATAAAATGAGACTTTTTTCTTTTAGATATGATGTGATTACTGTTATTCTTTAACTGACGGACGAGACAACAGACAACTTACCGTAACCCCCATGCCCCTTTCCATACCCTCCGTGTCCTCCATGCCCGTATCCTCCGCCGCCATGTCCTCCGTGTCCGTATCCTCCGCCGCCATGTCCTCCGTGTCCGTATCCGCCACCATGTCCTTTGCCGTATCCACCACTATGACCTCCATGTCCTTTGCCGTATCCGCCACCGTGTCCCCCATGACCGTGTCCGTATCCACTGCCGCCGTGTCCTTTGCCATAGCCTCCTCCGTGTCCCTTGCCATAGCCTCCTCCGTGTCCGTGTCCTTTGCCGTAACCGCCTCCGTGTCCCTTGCCATAGCCTCCTCCGTGTCCGTGTCCTTTGCCATAGCCTCCTCCGTGACCGCCATGACCTTTCCCATACCCTCCGTGACCCTTACCGTGGCCGCCATGTCCCCCGTGGCCGTACCCTGGGTCGGCCAGGGACAGCGCCACCACCACCAGCACGACAAACGCCACAAGAGCCACACGCTGGAAAGTAAAGGAATTACGCTAATGATAATAATAATTTCTAGATTCTTATGCAACAGGTGTAGGAATGGAATGAAAGGAATCCTTTAACTAGGATAAAAACTCTGTAAGTCATTCAAGGATTGTTGAATACTTCTTAAAGAGAGAGAGAGAGAGAGAGAGAGAGAGAGAGAGAGAGAGAGAGAGAGAGAGAGAGAGAGAGAGAGAGAGAATTAGATAGATAAGACGAAAGATAGAAAGGAGGACGCATGGATAAGTACACCACATTTCCAGAACAAACAACTCTTCAACTCACCATCCCGTAAGCCATGATCACTGCAAAAGGACACGGAGGAACTGCCGTTGAATTCGCAAACCCGCGATATATATACACACTCCAATGTCACGGTAGGGAGTAATAGGCAAAGGAAATAGGTAAAATAGGTGAAAGGGGGTTAAATGTGGAGCAGGAAAGGGGAGGGGCAGTTTGCAAGGTAGGGGGAGATTGAGCTGGCCGTTACATCACGAGGAGGAGAACAATAAGTCACTGATGTTCCGCTCAAATAGGGCGTAGTGACTTAGATGCAAGAGTGACTTTTTGTCGTTTCGCTGCATTTCTTCAGGCATCGTTGTTACATAGTTGTGCTTCAACCGCAATATTTCCATGTTGGAAAAATATAGTGTAAAATGAAGATTAAAAACAGAGTGAGAATTAAATAATCAATGTGTATAGTTCTCGCATTAGTCATACAGCAAAATTTAAGAGGTTTGACTCTTCATACTATTTTTCAAACTATTAATACATGCAAACAATTATTGTTGCTATTTAACAAAAATTAAATCAATCACAGATAATGCAGTTTAATTCCGCGGTCCTCATTAGATCTGCCTCTTCTTGTCTTAGATTAATGGCATTTCACTTACTTTAGGCGATGGTTCTCTTCGCTCATTTTAGTTCCTCAGAAATGTAATTTTTCAGTCATCAAATGATCATGAACCAATACGAGGGAAAAAATAAACATAAATGTTTTCAGAAAAGATGACATATAACTGCTGTGGAATAAGATGGCATTTTGAATTTTCAAAATATCCACACATTACATCTATCAAAAATAACGTTATAAATCCGCACCTAAATTCGTAACATATACCTATAACAAATTGCAGAACTACAGTAACTCTAGCGGGCAATTTATTAATCCTTAATACCATATTCAGCCAAGGAAATTACTTTCGAGAATTTTCCTACATAGAACTCAAAAACACTATTAGTGCCTATGGAGCACAAGCACTATTGACTGTCCTTTAGTCTCATTCTCTATAATGTATGTGAAGTTATTAAAAACAAAAACAAATGAGTTAGATAAGAAAATGAAAGACACCACTGAAACTAACAAATTTCATTATCCATTTGTTGATTGTGTTCATGTTACTGATTTGCTATTACTGCTGTTGGTAATAGTAGGGGTAATGAAAATAATAACGATATGCATATATGTATGTATGTTTGCATATATGTATAAATGTATATGCCTTATATGTGTGTGTATGTGTGTATGTATATATCATATATACACATACACATATATATGACTGTGTGTGTGTCTGTATATATAATATATATATATATATATATATATATATAATATATATATATATATATATATATGTACGTGTGTGTGTGTGTGTGTGTGTGTGTGTGTGTGTGTGTGTGTGTGTGTGTGTGGTGTGTGTGTGTGTGTGTGTGTGTGTGTGTGTGTTTGTGTGTGTGTGTATGTGTGTGTATACATACATATAATAAAAATACACATATTATTATTATCATTATCATCATTATTGGTGGTGATTGACTATCATTACTATCACTGTTATTGTTATCCCTATAACTACCATTATAATTATCGACATCGTTGTTATTATCATTGCCCATACCACTGTGATGAGTATTAAGTTTATTATTATGAAATCAATCATTATCATGTATATGTGTGTGTGTGCATATTTATATGTGTATGCACACACACACACACACACACACACACACACACACACACACACACACACACACACACACACACACACACACATACATATGGCGATAACAGTAACAACAATTTTATCAATAATATTAATGGTGATGAATTTAATAGCATTAATGATGATAAAAAGTAGGTAAAAACAATGTAAAATTAATATTAATTATTTATTTTAATAATTGTTATTTTCATTATGAAAATATTGTAATGTAAGGATGATGATGATAATGATAATGATAATAATAGTTAAAATAGTAACAATAATGAAAATAATGCTAGTGATTCTAGCAGCGACAAAAATAACAAACCTATTAATGTAAATTACGGTAACTATGATGACTATGAGAATATCAACCGTAAATAATGATGATAACGATCGAATTAACAATGTTAATGATACTGATAGCAATACGAGTAGCAGAAATAATATTACTAAATAACATGAAATTAAAGCTTATGATACTAAGTACAGTAATGCCAATGATATCAACAATAGTGATGATAATAAAAAAGGTAATCAGAAAAAAATAATTATGGTGATATTAGTAGAAGCAGCAGTAATAATAATAGTAGTAATAATAATGATGATAGTCATTGTAATAGTAGTAGTATCATTTGTAATGGGAATAATAAGAAAAGTAGCAGGAACAATGGGAAGTAAAACAAATCCAGTCAACACTAATAACTAGTACTACTTTAACAATAAATATAACGGTGGCGATAGTGAACGTAATCAACAAATTGATAGATCTATCATTTTCGTAATTATCTCATTAGTTTTTAATAACTTCACATATATCATTATAAAGAATTGGACTAAATAACTGTCAATATATTGTGTTTGTGTTCCATAGTCACTAGTAATGTTATTGAGTTCAATGTAGGGAAGTTAAGTAGTTAAACAGTATATATGTGATTGATTTAACCGGTGTTAAATAGCAAGTAATTGCTAGCATTTACCAATAGTTTGAAAAAATATATTTAGTGACAAACCTCTGAAATTTTGCTGTATGACAAATGTGAGAACGATACACGCTGAATATTTTGTTATTAGTGTGTTTTAATATACTAAACTTTACACTGCATTTTATTTTATTTTATTATTTATTTTTTTAATTTTTATTTATTCATTTTTGTTTTATTCTTATTTTCATTTTTGAACATGAAAATATTACGTTTGAGACATAATTATGGAACAACGATGTCTGAAGTAATAATAATAATAATAAAAAAAACACTCTTGCATCTAAGTCACATCTTATTTAAGCGGAACATCAGTGACTTATTGTTCTCCTCCTCGTGATGTAACGGCCAGCTCAATCTCCCCCTACCTTGCAAACTGCCCCTCCCCTTTCCTACTCCACATTTAACCCCCTTTCACCTATTTTACCTATTTCCTTTGCCTATTACTCCCTGCCATGACACTGGAGTGTGTATATATATCGCGGGTTTGCGAATTCAACGGCAGTTCCTCCGTGTCCTTTTGCAGTGATCATGGCTTACGGGATGGTGAGTTGAAGAGTTGTTTGTTCTGGAAATGTGGTGTACTTATCCATGCGTCCTCCTTTCTATCTTTCGCCTTATCTGTCTAATTCTCTCTCTCTCTCTCTCTCTCTCTCTCTCTCTCTAAGAAGTATTCAACAATCCTTGAATGACTTACAGAGTTTTTATCCTAGTTAAAGGATTCCTTTCATTCCATTCCTACACCTGTTGCATAAGAATCTAGAAATTATTATTATCATTAGCGTAATTCCTTTACTTTCCAGCGTGTGGTCTTGTGGCGTTTGTCGTGCTGGTGGTGGTGTGGCGCTGTCCCTGGCCGACCAGGGTATGGCCACGGGGGACATGGCGGCCACGGTAAGGGTCACGGAGGGTATGGGAAAGGTCATGGCGGTCACGGAGGAGGCTATGGCAAAGGACACGGACACGGAGGAGGCTATGGCAAAGGACACGGACACGGAGGAGGCTATGGCAAGGGACACGGAGGCGGTTACGGCAAAGGACACGGACACGGAGGAGGCTATGGCAAGGGACACGGAGGAGGCTATGGCAAAGGACACGGCGGCAGTGGATACGGACACGGTCATGGGGGACACGGTGGCGGATACGGCAAAGGACATGGAGGTCATAGTGGTGGATACGGCAAAGGACATGGTGGCGGATACGGACACGGAGGACATGGCGGCGGAGGATACGGACACGGAGGACATGGCGGCGGAGGATACGGGCATGGAGGACACGGAGGGTATGGAAAGGGGCATGGGGGTTACGGTAAGTTGTCTGTTGTCTCGTCCGTCAGTTAAAGAATAACAGTAATCACATCATATCTAACTAAAAGAAAAAAGTCTCATTTTATACATCTGTGCATTGACATTTTTCCCCACAGGATACCACTAG